TTTTAAGCAAATCGGACCATAAATACGATTTCTTCGAATAGATCAGTCCCTGGTCCACTTCTCGGACAAAATGGATCATATATGCTAATATATGCTAAAAAACTACTTACGTGCCGAATTTTAAGCAAATCGGACCATAAATGCGATCTTTTGGAATAGATCGGTCCCTGGTCCAGTTCCCGGAAAAAATGGGTCATATATGCTAATATATGCTAAAAAGCTACTTACGTACTAAATTTTATGCAAATCGGACTATAAGATTTTTTCGAATAGACCGGTCCCTGGTCCACCTACCCGAAAAAAGTAAAATTTTTTAGCCTAAAACATGGTGGTTACCGAAAGCTATATATAAAATTTCAGCCGTTCGCGAGATTACCTGTTACAAAAAAAGGGACTTCTCTTTATATAATTAGTATAGATAATATATCTCAACTAATATATATTTAGAACCGTTTGTTAGTTTTCGCAAGGCTCGAGAGCGGCTGAACAGATTTTTTTGAAACTGCCACCTGCCGCACGTGTCCCAAGGATGATTTTAGGCTGAAAAAAATCTATATGTAAAGGGGACGTGGCACTTCCCATACAAACCGAATTTCTCATGCTACATATCTCTGAAAGTGTGCATGGTATGGAGATATATGAAATCAATCGCATACCCTTGGAGAAAAATTTTAGCTATTGTAAAAAGGGGTGTGACATCTCCCATACAAACCGAATTTTTCATACTGCTTATCTCTGGAAATTTTTTGGTAGAGTTCTTGAGTTTTGTATGGAGATGTACGAAATAAATCGCATACTCTTGGAGAAAAATTGGAACTATTGGAAAAGGGGCGTGACATCTTCCACACAAACCGAATTTTTCATTCTGCCTATCTTTGGAAGTGTTCATGGTAGAGTTCTGGAACTTGGTATGGAGATATACGAAATCAATCGCATACTCATGAAGAAAGAGGGCAGCTGTTGGAAAGGGGGGCGTGGCACCTCCCATATAAATCGATTTTTTATACTGCATATCTCTGAAAGTATTCATGGTACAGTACTGGAACTTCGTATGGAGATATGTATATAGTTGAAATCAAGCTAATACTCATGGAGAAAATTTGGGCTATTTGAAAAGGGGTGTGAGGCCTAGAAAACGTACCGACCTTTAGCTATCTTTGAATGAATTTTTTTATTCTTCGGTAGGTGTGTTTGTGAGTGAAATCCTCCTAAATGGTTGTACGGATTTTAACGAAACTTTTTGTGTATTT